CAAGATACGCATCAGTGATATAAAAATCAAGCAGTTGCGATAATTTAATGCATTTATACTCAACGTAAAAAGAAAAATCCAGTATTAAATATAGGTTTCTACTTGAAAGCCCTTAATGTCGACCCGCTGATTTTAAGGACGGTGGACATTAATGGGTTAAGTCGGTGGGTAGCATGTGCAGAAAGTGTAACGGAGGTTGGAATCAGCAAGGTTAATTCAAATTTCCTTCTAGTCTGTTGAGAAATGCATAAAGCAGTCTTTTATTGCCACTCATGGGTTAAATAACAGCGGATACTGGGCTCTTTAGCATTGGGTGGGCACCAGTCTAATAGTATGAAAACCGAATTTCAAATCGTGGAGAAGGCATCAGAAAACCTATTTACTGTCTTTTCAAGAATGTAGGACAGTTTACAGACAATAAAGAATAGTAATATGTAGGGAGTCATGATCGCCTGAAGCGATAGGATATTTTAAAATATCTAGATTTGCCGAATTGTTTTTTATGGTTTATCCACCCTTTTTGGCTTATTTAAGACTGAAACATATTGGTGGAATTGACTTGAAGTACCCAGTATTCCCAAGTGATTGACAACACAGAAATTCAAAACCATATAGAAATACCGAAGGATAATTTTAAGAAACTGGCCAAAAGATCGCAAATGTCCTTAAAAATAAGGAAAAGTATAATGGATTCTTTTTTTTTTTTAAATATTTAATATAACGTTTTCCCCCAGTTGAGTTGTGGTCCTACCGGCGAAGGGTTAGAATACCATGGAGATTTTTTGCGGGAAATAACAAAATTTTTAAGAAGAATAGGGCCTACATAGGGCTGGTGACAGTTGGTATTTTGTGGACACTTAACGAGAAAAAAGCTGAGAAAAAAATAACAGTCACAGGGGACGTCAACGGAAAGACAAAAAAGGGAAAGCGGCTAGAAAACTACTTGACATCTTGAGCAAATGGATGGAGAAACAAGTATTGTGAAGAGAAAGAGCGTAGTTTACATGTGACACAAGACCGAAAGCATAAAGTGTTAGTTTGACTGAAACTAAAAACGACAGGAAACTGTAGAGTGTTCTGATGACCCAAGTTCTAAAGGATGTAAATAGACAGGCATTTTAGACTGTTCTACTTGCTAAAATATTAATGAATACAATTGTTATTTATGCGTTCTATGGCTTTGAGCTTTAGGACAATGTTAAGATATTTTAATGAATGTGACTTTTTACTTCAAACAAAAGCAATAGTTCTTTACTTTTTGAAATGTTCTCATCTTAATTTGTTCATTAAGATGCTCGGATTGAAGACTTGGAGATCTGAGTTCAAATTCCTGTCGGATCCATTACATTCACTTACGTGTTAATTCATACCTTGGAGAAAGGTATGAATCCACTTCTTCCCCCCAGCTATGGATAAATAGCAGGACAGACTGCGTTTGTTGCCTTGGGTCGTAACCGGTCTAGAGGAAAGGAAATCTGAATTCAAAATTGCATGCAGCCCTATATTAGCACATAATATACGCATTGTCTCGATGACCCCGACTACGGTCGAATGTTGATCAATTTGTTTATTTTGTTTAAATTTCAAGGATTACATTATTTTACATCCTGGGATTGTTCATAATATATGTTTATATACCGTAGGTCTACATGTTCAAATCTCATTCATTTACAAATTCCCAGCCAAACTTATTCACTCCTATTTATGTTATAAATCTTTTTAGTTAATGTTCTATATTCCATCATATGATTCGTCGTCTCCTTTCAGAAAACGAAAAGTTGGAATTTTGCCTCAAAAAAAAATATTTACGTATGTTCAGTTGCATGTTGCAGGCTGAAGTGTAAGAAATCCCAAGAATTTGTTTTTCGCTGTTAAAAAGGAAAAAAAAAAAGAAATTTTCTTAAAAAATATTATTCTATATTCCATCATATGTTTAGTAGTCTGTTTTCGCATAGCAAACACAATATTTTCATGAGTTCCAAATCAGCCAAATAAGACAAAATAAACCAATGCTTCTCGTTAGAAATCGTAATAATATGGATGAAGAATTTGTCAAACTTCATTACAGATGATTGAAAGCAGTTACAAGTAGATTGAGCAGTTCATATCAATTATTAATGTTTAGTAAGTATGGAAGTTATTTTAGCCAACATTCATTCATAAAACGTGACCGACCGAAGTGATTCTATTGATTGATGTGTTTTCTTTTTTTTAATGGCTTATTACATCCTTAGAGGTTAATTAAGGCTGATTCATATTTTGGATTGGAGGAAGTTGCTTGCACTATCCAAGATGTCTCTCGGGCTCGACGCTGCTTAACTCTTGTCTCCCGGGCTCGACGCTGCTTAACTATTGTCCAAATGATTGCAAACTGATGATTATGGAAAGATTAGCAAGGTCGATTATAAATAAACAATTTTCTGAAATTTACCCAGTCAGAAAATAGAACTTTTTTTTTATTAGAAATTGACTTCAAAATCTTTTATATTAAAAAAGTCTCATGAAAAGACATTTTTCTCCTAAAGCAAGGTTTATGCCTGATTAGTTTCTCAGAGGAGCCATGCGGCAAATCGTTAATTTTCTTTTTGCACATTTGAGCATGATTAGAATGTTTATGGCCGAAGTGCAATAAGTGTTTGCCTTTTCATGCAACGATGCTGAAGGATTGTTTTGTTTAAGCTCGCTCCAACTATTGCGCAATTTATACTGGTTAATTTGTTTTTTAAAACTAATTCCAATATCGTGTATCTAATGTTGGTGGATTTTATGAATGGCGACAGGCATATAAATTAATCATGAAACAAAAGAAAGACATTGTTCCATAGCAAAAGATATTTCTGTGTACAAATAATTAGCAAATGTAGAGGATTTCTACGATTCAAATTTTGACACTCGATAAATAAGTTTGGCAGCTTTAGTGTAAGGTCTACTTCAACATATAGTCTACCCAGGTGCAGCGCGGAGGTCTAGTCACGTGGCCATCAGGTCAGGTGAGGTAATGGATCGACGGGTGGGGATCTAACATGGATATCTATATCTGTCTCACATTTTCTAAACAAATAAAAAAGAAAGCAAATGAAGCACCTAAATCAGAATCCTCCTCGGCCCGTTTTTGAGGGTTGGACCGTCCCTACTAACATCAGTTATGTTTATTTTGATTTGTTTCGATATTTTGTTTATTTTGGTGTTCATATATAATAATATTTTTGTAGGTCCCACTTGAGAGGATGCGGTATTGTGGTGTATGAGGGATTGATTGGTAAAGGACGAATTTTTATGGTGAATGCGGGATTAGGTATAAGATAGTAAGTGATGACCAGCATCAACACCTCTCCCTTTTTTTTCTGAGATGGGGTATTATGTACATTATTTACATTATTCGGACTATTGTCCTCATCTTTGTCGCCATATTTATACAACATTTCGGTGGCTGGGATGTCGAACTGAACCCTATATTTCGCTCACTGGGGTAGACTAATCTAGTTCCACGTGCCATGTTTATGTCAGTTATCTCCTGTTAATTCCCCTCTCCAAGTTCTTCACCGACTTAACCAGGTATTGAACTCACACTCATGTCACTGGATCTAACTAACGCCTTTATCCACTGTGCCATGTGTCCTTGGGGACATCTGTGTCTGAATTTCTGGGTATTATAAACCTAATGTCTTCAGCAACCATTTTTATCAATTCTCATATTGCTGTTATCATTTCATGTTTTTACCAGAGCTCATATTGCAGTTTTTGTTTTTATTATCGCTTTTCTCTGTCACTCTTTATTATTACTGTTTCCCATATTGTATTCATATGCAAGAGAGGGGAATTAAGAGATAACTCCATTAACATCCATTAGACATTGCACATGGAAACAGGACAATCTACCCCAGAGAACGAAATAAAGGGTTCAGTTCGACATTCAAACCAACCGAAGAAGACCGGGGCGTACAACAGCCGAAACGTTGTAATAAATATGGCGACAAAGATGAGGACAATAGTCCGAATAATGTAAATTTTATTTTTATACAATAAATATCAATCCTCCTCGGCCTGAACCAGTTAACAAATATTTCAGAACTTCAGGGCACTTCAAATTTTGCTGAAGAAGTTTTATAGAAGAGTCATCCTGACAGAGAAAACTGCAGTCACCTCTTTAAGAGAACAAAATCTGCTGCATAGAGTTCAACAAGCAGATCCATGCCATAAATGCGGTTCTGTCATGGAGGAGAAACGAAAACGTAACGGGTGAGGAGAATTCAAGTTTGTATTGCTTTGGCCTCGAACAGGGTGTCAAACTACACGGTCTGTCCGTAAAGGAAATCAATTTTTACATTATACAGACACGAACAATGTATACATATACTATATACATATAGTTCGATGCTGCGGTAGACCTCACGCTATAGACGAAATGGAAGGTAGACCTCACGCTATAGACGAAACTGAAAGTAGACCTCACGCTATAGATGAAACGGAAGGTAGGCCTCACGCTATAGACGAAACGGAAGGTAGGCCCCACGCTATAGATGAAACAGAATGTAGACCTCACGCTATATTGAGTTAGACCTCACGCTATATTGAGTTAGACCTCACGCTATAGTAGCACCGAATAATATCAATTTTATGGCTTCTTTTATTTTCTGTACCATATCTTTTCAGTAAGTAGAGGTTTTCACGGCTCTCTATAATTTTCTGTTGTTTTTGCTTTAACTATCCCTTGTCCTTTACTATAACTCTTTTGCATTTATGGTCCCTGCTTGTTATTCATTTACGTTAAGTGGCCTTTTCGGTGCTTTCCTCTGCATATTTTACCCTTGGTATGCCCAGAGAATCTAACACACTTCAAGCATTCTTTTCGCAGTATATGTCCTCAAAGTGTTAGCAGTCTTTTTCTGATTGCTATCAGAAGTTCCTTTGTATTTACTATTCTATTTTAAACTTCCTCTTTTCTCACATGCTCTGTCCATGGTAGTCTTAGCATTCATATCTTCTACATTTCTGAAGGCTTACGGCCACATCACGTTGAATCACCGGTTCCCCTAGGATCACCGAAGTTAAACAACGTCGAACCTGGTCAGTACTTAGATGGGTGACCGCTTGGGAATACCAGGTATTGTAAGCTTGAATGTACGCGTGGTGCAATAGATAATGGTTTGGAATTGTTAAGTGGAGAGTCGAGTTCCAATTCTCATTGGAAAAGGTTTGAATTCACCTCTTCTTCCTATAGCTATCAGTTAATTAGTAAAGCCTGTAAAAAGTAATTAGTAAAGCTGGTAAAAAAAGTAATTAGTAAAGCTTGTAAAAATGTAATTACTAAAGCTTGTCAAGAAAGTAATAAGTAAAGCTGGTCAAGAAAGTTATAAGTAAAGCTTGTAAAAAGTAATTAAATCTTGTAGAAAGTAAGTAGTAAAGCTTACAAAAAAGTAATTACTAAAGGTTGTAAATAAGTAATTAGTGGAGGTTGTAAAAAAGTAATTAGTAAAGGTTGTAAAAATAGTAATTAGTGAAGCTTGTAAAAAAGTAATTAGCAAAGCTTGTAAGGAAAGTAATTAGTGAAGCTTGTAAAAAATTAGTAAATCTTGTAAAAAAGGAATTAATAAAGCTTGTAAAAAGTAATTAGTAAAGTTTGTAAATTAGTAAAGCTTGTATTATAAAACCCTTTTCTTAAAAATAAATTCTTGCAATCTAAAAGTATTTTCTAGCTTTAAACAACCTGCAAATGTTTGATAAGCTGTAAAAACGAATAAATCCATTGATGGATTTGTGAGAAAATTCTCCAACATTCACAGCTATACAAAATATTAGAAAACGCATAGCAATCGAGCAACCTTTTCTTTGTACTAAGGAAACTTATCCATTATTCATTATATAACGTGCACATTCAAGCTTATAGCACCTGGTATTCTCAAGAAGTAAGCCATCTAGTTACTTTCTTAAATTCGGTGATCCTACGGGAACCAGTGATTCAATGTGATCAGTTATTATTTCTCTCAAGTTCCTGAAAACATCTTCGATTCTATAATGCTTCTTTGAATTTCTTCAATTCTTATACAGCTGGATTTTGACAGACACACACACACACACACACACACACACACACTTCAAATTTAATTTTTTTTTGTGGATGCCAGTATTAAACGCCCCGATTATTTAAAAATGTATGTATTGCTTCTTCTTGCCCGCAACTTCAAGAAAACTTGTTAAAGAAAATGTACCCTCCAGGAGGATTCGAACCCGTGTCCTCCTTTACAAGAGAAACCGCACTCTGATCCGGCGTGCTTTGACCGCTCGGATGCGAAGAACTTTTTAATCATGCGAGATTCTATTTGCCTTTAAAGCACACTGGCGCATTCAAATTTTATCAAAAGGCAAAACTACTCAATTTCATAGAGACAATTAAAAAAAATAGGGAATAATATTTTTTAATCAGACATATTTTTATTACTGCAAACGTTATTTTTAGTGGATACCCGTATTTCAGTAGACGTTCCGTTTATTTTAAACAGTACATATTTCGTCTAGCAACCTTCACCCGCGAGAAATTTTATTAAAGAAAATGTGCCCTTCGACATAATTCGAACCTGCGGCCATCTATGACAAGCGGCATGTCGACAATTGGCTAAAATTTAAATATTAGGTTCTGTTAAATTTTGAATAAACATTTTTTTATTGTTAATACTCTAACCTTGTGCAGCTTATTTTAAAAGTCACCTTGAGGACAGACGGGAAAGTAGCGTAATTGAAAATTTAGTAAGCGTCAAATTAGTCGCCCAGATATACAGTGAAAAAACAGAAAGGAAAGAAAACAATAGGATGAAAGACATTTATTAAAAATAATGTTATAATGAAAAGCACGTTGACAATGTGACTAAAACGTATTGAAGCGTGAATATATAATACCAGCTACGTCGTACAATATGGAAATGAAGAAAATCTCTTGAAAACACAACCAGAAAAGTGAAAAGTAAAAACTGAATTCAGCTCAGAATAAACCGACGCGACGAGATTATATTGCAATTTTATATATATTTGATATTTTATAATTAACGAACTCTTTAATAAAATATCTTAAAATATATTCCCGTTAATTAAAATATATACACCAGTAATTATTTAGTAAGTTTGGCGCAAGACACCCAGTGAAGATCGAATTTAATAATCAATGACGATGCAATTATTTTCTGTCATTTATCACCACCAAAACCTTCTGTTTCATCCGTCAATCTATCTTGCCTGTTCAATCTGCTTTCGCCATCCAGTGGAAACTAATTAACGGTAATGTTGAGATTAATTGTTTCTATACAGGAAACATTTATCATTTATTGATGAACTGTTAGCGTTACTATGGTTGAAATTTCTAAAATCTTTCTCTTTGGAAAGGAGGCTTCACAAGTCCACTACTTGCCATTCCGCTTCTTAGTATTGAAGGGAGTTTTCTTCCGAGCCTTTCCTTTAAGGTCATATTGAAAGCGAACATTTTGATTATAACATTATTTTCTCTTCCCATTAGATGTGCTATCCATTTTCGTTCTTGCAGCTGCTAGAAGTCTTCAAATGTTTTGTTATATAAGAAAATTCATTTTTTATATACTAATGGCCACCCAGTCCCAAATCTAAAAGCCATTGATGGTAGAGGGTTACTTTGTCATGTTGTAGGAGCGTAAGAAAAGGCAAGAAGTGAAGTTTATGGCTTTATGCAGAGAAGATAGTGGTTAGCCATAGACTTCAGGTGATCAAGATTGATGTGATTAGCAAAACGACCCATCGGGAATATTTTCTACAAAGTAGCAGTTCTTGGGAAGAAGCTATCCGAATAGAACTTCATTCTTACTATTGAAATATGAAAGGAATAGGGATGATTCACACTTATGTAGTTGACATTGCGGGTTCCAGTTATAAAAGTCAGGACTAGCGGAACTAAGGGCTGTAACTCATCAGTACACATCACATTTCATCTTCGGGAAAGAGGTTGTAGGGTGGAAGATAATTAATCACTCAAAAGTCCGCGTAGACACTTTCGACGTCTATCAAGACGGGCAAGTGAGGACCAGGCAGCTCCAGCCCAGATATGACAATAATAATCCATTTTTGGTCTGATCTTGCTCTTGTAAAGATAGTCAGATACATACTGGAGATGTACAATAAACCAAAAAATTTTATATAATCTTTAACAACAGGTTTGATATTGTGATTCTGTAACGTTAGTATATTAGATACGATGAAGGATAGTCCTCGTTAAGACCTAGTGGATTTATTATTCGTTTCAAGCGATTTTTAATTATTGATCTTAGAAAACGGTGGGATGGTACTGCTAATTTGAACATTTATGGACGAAATGGACGTCATGTATATCATCTATCTGAGAATCTTAATCTGACCTGATTATTTAAGAACATAACTTGAGTTTTCAGATTTTGGGTATGTAGCAATATGTAGTGATATTGAGCGAAACTACCCCTAGCACTGTCTATCCTCGGTTCAATTTCCTTCTCTCTTAATCTAAGTTTGTTATAGAACATTAAAGAAACTTTTGCTTCACTATTATCTTTTTTTATCGCTACACCTTCCGTTTCTATTCCATTCACTTGTCGTATTCCTTCAGGATTTGAACACTCATGGTTCATCACAACCTCCTGTGTCTTGTAGTTGTAAGCAACATCTGAATCTTCACCAAGCCCACTTTCCTCATTATCTGTGCAAGAAGTTTTAGCAGAGTCTTTTTTTATTTTAAGTATGTATCCTTTTACTATCCTTTTAGTTTGTTATTCCTTTGCTCGTTGTCTAGTTCATGATATTGTCAGCATCCGCCTATAGAATCTTTCTTCGTTTCAAGAAGATTTTCCCCATCTCTTAATACTCTGCTTAGTTTCTGAAAGACATTATTCACTATCCTTTTTCATTCTGCCTTCTTACAGTTAATAGTCTTTTCTTCTCGCTTTTCATTACTATGCTGTCTAGGAATACTTCCTTTATCTATCCTTCTGGATTTCTCATGTTAAGATTATAAGTCCGTTGATAATAAATCCTTGTACGTGGTTTAGTTCAGCTGTATTACAGGAAACCATTTAGCATACGAGATAATGCTAGAGCCGTGTTAGGTCAAACCTCAGTCCTTCACCAAGTGTTGAGACGAGAGAGACTTCTCCCGGGTGCGCAGTCTTAAGTGATTATATAAAGAGGTCGTGCGCTTTTTTCCCGAACACAGGCCCTACCTCGCGACCGTACTGACAAGATCCAAGGGAATACAAAGAATTACAATTGGGACCGGCTTAGCTGTAGGAGTTGTCGGAATGTTTTCAATACAAACCGCCTAAGATGGATCTCGATAGCTTTTTCACATTTAGATAAGCCCGAAAGGAAGCTGACCTTTAAACTCATGGTTATTCCTTCTCTTGATGGACTGCCGTCACGTGCTAAAAAGTCCCATACACCCTAAGCAGCTGCTTGTGATGTGTCAGTAGCCTGTGTTCGTCCCTTCTACGGCTTGGGGTGTGTCAGTAGCCTGTGTTCGTCCCTTCTACGGCTTGGGGTGTACTTATTTGTGAGAGGCCAATTGAGACGCATGGCATGGTAGCAATTTACAGCTTGTTCCCACTACAACTCCCAACTATGAGAGCGTTTGGAACATATATAATGTATATATGACTAAACTGAGATCTTTAAATTAACAATTATATATATATATATATATATATATATATATATATATTAAAATATAGCTTTTAGGGAATTCTATATTTATGAGTTAAAGTGCTCGATATCAGTGATATATCGTATGTAAATAAGAACGTGGACATTGAGGGGAACACCCTGAGGAGACAGAGTGTTTTATCCTTAAACGCAATCGTCAAGCTATGTGCGTTGTGTAAGGTCAACTATTTATAAATGCTGGCCAGTGATGCATTATGGGTACTTTTATTGGGATATTCTAACGATTAATGGGTGGGCGGTAACGGTAATTTTTCGAATCATCTAGGGGTTATTCAGTGGAAATAATTGTGGATCTGAATGCAATTTTGTGGCTAGTGGTTGCTTTGTTATTTGTTTTTGATTATTATTATTACATTTATTTGTGCATTGGTTCTTTGTTAATTTGATTCATTTTTACTTTATTTATTAT